AAATTTTTAAGAAACCTTGGTTGGGCTGGGCAGAGGTGGCACACACCTTTAATCCCAGTACTCAGGAGGCAAAGTTAGGCAGATCCCTGTGAGTTCGAGGCGAGCCTGTTCTACAGAGTGAGTCTCAGGACAGCCAAGGCTGTTACACAGAGAAACCCCTGTCTTGAAAAACCAAAATAGAAAGAAAAAAAGAAAGCTTGGTTGGATTTTCATCACTGAGGGGATGGGATATGGATCTGCATATGAATTTATGTATCAACCAAACACACACACAGTCCCAAGAACTTGTTTATTTATTTTGTAAATTAGTGTTTATTGTAATCTGACTATTCAAGCAAGGAGCCAGCTAGTCCTGAGGACTTCCAGAGCTCCAGCGGGGAGACCTCCAGAGTCCCCACTTAACGTCTCCACTTACTTTAGAATAAGCAACTCGGCTGTTACATATCCCAGAGTCCTTTTCCTCTCAGGCCTCGCCTGCGCCCTGCATCTCAGATATCCACTAAATAAAACTTCTGTCAACCCAATCTCCCCAGACGCGATCACAGGGCTAATGTCTGATGCCTTTTCTCTCTGCCACACATATACAAATCATTAGCAAGATTTATTTATATAGTCTTCAAAGAGAGTCTTGAAAATGTTCGCTTCTCCCTGTCTCCGCTGTTACTGTGCTTGGAGTCTGTTGGTCTCATCTAGGCAACTGCCTCGTGCCTGGCTTTTCCTCTCCCTCTCTTTCCTATTTCTGTTCTCCTAGCTCTCCACAGAACAGCCAGAATCATCTTAATGAATGGCATCAGGCCTTATTTCAAAGTATTCAGACACCCCTTACCATATTTAGGGTTACATCTTTTTAGTTTTTGCTCTTTTTTTCTTAACATTTTTTAATTTTTCTATTTTCATGTGTGTGTGCATGCACGTATGTGTGTGTGCATATTTGCATGTGTGAGGATATGTGTGGGGGTGCATGTGCACAGGTGTGTATGTGCATGTTTGCGTTGCACATGTGTGTGCTTGGATGTGTGTGTGTTCATGTGTGCACATGTAAAGACCCAAGGCTGATGTCTACAGTCACCCTCCATCATTCTTCCATGTTATTCATTCAGGCAGGGCCTCTCAAGCAAACCTAGAGCTCTCTGGTAGGGCTAGTTTTGCTAGCCAGCTTGCTTGGATGACCCCTGTCCCTGCTTTCCCAGACTGGAATTACAGGTATGCTGCCGTCCCCGCCCAGCATTTATGTTGGTCCTGGGGATCTGAACTCTGGTTTCCATGCTTAAGCAACACGTGCTTGGAGTCATTTCCCCAGCTCTTTCTATTTGGAATTAAACGTCAAGTCGTTCACTCTTCCATACCCGTGCAATTTCATCAATCCCATTTTCTGCCCCACATTGTTCTCCAGACATTTTGGTGGTTTGTCTGCCTGCCTGCTCTCCTTTCTTTCCTCCTTTCTTTTATTTATTTTTCTAACATTTATGGCTTTGTGCAGCGTAATTTTATCCATCTGGAATGTTCTTGCTCTTCCCACACCTGACTCTTCTTAAAATTTAGTCTTAGCTGCCCTTCCTCGAGAAGCTTTTCCTGGTTACCCTGTGTCTGCCACAGAAGCACACCTTCCTCCATTTGCATTTCCCCCTCCTCTTCCTTCTCTTTCTAAGCGTTTGGCATCATCTTTACAAGTTAATTTGTCAGTTTACCTACTGGATGTGTCTTCCAGGCTGGAGACTAAAACTCTAAAGTCGTAGTTAATTAAATAACTGAACTCACATGGAAACCACTTTGATTTCATTCTCAAGGAGTCATACACATGCCTGGCATTTGCCCTTATCAGTAGTAGGCTCCCAAATATTACCTGGAGGACAGCGGCATCCATGTTTACTTATGCGGACTCTGCCTATTGATATCAATGGTTCCTGACTCACGATGGCTTGACTTACATTTTTATTTCTGACTCTAGGATTGAGGGAGTGCAATTTGCATTCATTGGAAATTGTATTTTGAATTTTGATCTTTTTCCCAGGGTAACAATATGTACTATGATGCTCTCTAGGGAATCTGGGCAGGAAGCCATCACTCCCAATCAGCCACATGAGCTTGAGGCTAAACAACAGATACCTTCTTTTTAAATTTGAATTTAATTTTTTTCCCTTTGAGATAGGGTCTCATGTAGCTCAAGCTGGACTCAAAGTCACTATGTAGCTAAGGATGACCATGAATTTCTCAACCTTCTGCCTCCACCTCCCAGTTGCTGGGATTATGGATGTGCAAAACCACACACAGCTTTGTGTAGTGCTAGCAGTCACACCCAGGGCTTTGAGCAGACTAGACAACTACTCTACCCACTAAGCAATACCACCAGCTACAAACAGCTGTCTCACGGCATTCATGTTGTTAAGCTATGTTGGTAGGTGAGATTTTTTAAATTTAATTTTTTAATATAATATATATCAGTATTTTGTCTGTGTGTATATATGTGTGCTACATGCATGCCTGGTGAGCAAAGAGACCAGAAGAAGCTATTGGATCCCTTAGAACCAGAAGGGGATGGTTGTGAGCCATTATGTAGGACCTGGGAATTGCACGCAGGTCATCTGCAAAAGCAGCGAGTACTCTTAACTGCTGAGGCATCTCTCAGCTCCTAGATTTATTTTGGAACTTGAGATATTTTCACCTTACAGTGAATGGGTTTACTTGAACATAGTGTCACCATCAGTAGAGGGGCATCGGTAATTTTACTTAGTAGTTAAACTGCTGGGGCTAGAGAGATGGCTCAGTGGTTGTGCTAGTCTAAATGATCCAAACAACCATGTGGGGCAGCTCACATTGTCTGCCACTCTAGATGCAGGGATCCACCACCTTTTCCTGACCTCCTTGGACATGAAAGTCATATTCACATGTGCTGTGCAAGCAAGCAAGTGCACATGCACACACACACACACACACACACACACACACACACACTCGCACACACACAGATGACTAAACGGAATCTAAGAAAGAACTAGAAAATATAACCAAATAATTTTAAGGAGATTGAATCTATGATTGAAAAGCTCCCAAGAGAAAACCTCGGGACACAAAGACTTCATTATAAATCCAACCAACTATTCAAGGAAGAAGCAGTGTTCATACACCTCAAAGAAGTTCAAAGAAGGGAAGGGAAGACTTGCACACCCATTTCTTGAGACCAGCATTACACTAACACTAGATCCAGGCCAGGATACTACAAGAAAATAAGTCACTGTTCCTGATGAATGCAGAGGCAAAAATCTTCTACAAGATACTAACAAATGAAATTTAGCTCATCATGTACCGTGCTCAATGGGTGGGGAAGGTGGCTTAGCAGTCACAAGTCAAGCTCTGTGGCATACTAGTTTAATGGAAGAGGATTAATTCTCAGCTCTGTAGTTGGAGAAAGAGTATTTAGCCAAGTTCAGCATCCTTGTAGAATAAAAACCTTGGGAGTTAAGTGTAGAAAGCACACACCTCAGCACAACAAAGGTCTCTTTTGGCAAACCCATAGTAACATAATAATGATAAAACAAAATATAGAAAGATTTTCCTCTAAGAATCAAGACAATTTTTTTAGACAATGTCTCTCTATGTTCTGGAGCTCACAATATAGACCAGACTGGCTTTGAATTCACAGAGATCCTGCCTCTGCACTCCCCACATGTTAGGATTAAAGGTGTGTGCCACCATGCTTATCAAGACAAAAATGCATTCTTTTACCATGTCTTGTCAATATGATCCCGACATTTCTATCCAGAACAATCACATCAAGAAAAAAAAAGCATAGAAATTAGAAAATAAAAAGGTAAGATGATCTGCTTGGAGTTGGCAAGATCTTATATATAAAAAACTCTAAAGATAACATAAAAATAGCCTGCCAGAATTGATAGATTAATTTAGCAAACTGGCAGGGCACAAAATCAAAATAGAGAAATTAGTACTTTATACATCAACACTGTGCCATCTGTAAAGGAAATCAAGAAAACCTGGACATCAAGATGACTCAGTGAGTCAAGGCACTTGCTGCCAAGGCTAGAAGGCTGGACTACAACCTTAGTTGAATCCCCTGGACCCCACATTATGGAAGGAGAGAACCAACTACCAAAACTTGTCCTCTGACCTTTACATACCAAGGCACAGTCGAATCATGTACACACACCACATCACACATACACACACACACACACACACACACAACTATGACAGACTAGAAACTAGAAAAACAATTATCTTTGTAGCCTCGTTCATGAATCAAGTGTCCTTTACCTGCTTTTTGCCCTTCATTATCATCTGCTATAACCTTCCTGTGGTCTCCTTTCTTAATATAATATAATCACACTTCTATCTGTATATGTGTGCATCTACATAATTAACTAATATCTATTACACACAAACACACATACACAAACAAGTGTACATTATAGGCTGAGATCTACTTATGGCAGGCAGCCAAGGTGTTTTGTTTTGCTTTTCCCTGAGTTTTGATCACTAACTTTATATTTTCCAAATCCATCCATTTTTCCCAAAAATTTTGTGATTTCAGTTTTTCTTCACAACTCAAGACTATTCCATTCCTTTCTCCCACCCAAGGAATTTTAAAATGACAGTGACAAAGGACTCTAACAGACATTTATCAGAAGACGCCGTCAGGTATGTGAAAGCATGCTCAGTGTTAATAATAGGGGAAAGGTAAGCTAGAACCATGAAGAGATTTTACCTCATACCTTCTAGAATGTCTGTTTAAAAACCAATGTATGGGCATGAATGTGGAGAGAAAAAAGTCTTGTTAGATGATGTAAATGAATATGGAAGTTCATAAGCTCATATCAAAGCATACCCGAAGCATGGCATAAACATATCAATTGTTACCTACCTTAAAAGACAAGAAATCAAACAACTTTAAATGTACAGCTACTGATTTAAAATAAGAGTAATAAACCCATCACAAGTTCGAATAACACTTTAAGTGAAAAAGACTTTTTGAAACAAAAGATTACCTGGTAGCGTCACTTTACATCTCTGCGACTCTCTTCAGTGCCGGACATGGGAGGGAACAGCTGGATTCTCGTCTGCTGGAGCCTTCTGCCTGTTATGGTATCACAGGTCGCACTGCCTCAGGAAAATGTCACTGTACACTCGGAAGCAACAACTGTTGTAAGCAATGAAGACAAACACTGTGTGCGTATGTGCGCTGCATGTATACACATCCAAGTGTACATGTGTGTGCAGATCATTGTCTCTTGCCTTCCTTCATCACTCTCCAGTTTATGTCTTGAGACAAGGTCTCTCACTGAACCCGAAGCTCACCAGTTAGGCTACGCTTGCTGGCTAGCAAGCCCCAGAGATTGTTCTGTCTATCTGTCTCCCCAGCACTGGGATTACAAATAGGTCTCGTGACCAGCTTTTTGTGATGTCGGTGCTGGAGATCGAACTCAGGTTCCACGCTCGCAGAGCAAGAGCTCTACCAGCTGAGTCATCATGAATTTGTGGGTTCATACTCTGAATTAAAGTCTATTTTGGTATTCATTTGGAATGATAAAGACATTTTATAGTAATATTTAAGATAGGTTAATGATAGTGATATTTAATGACAATGGATACTTTTTTTCAGTTTTAATGGTTCTAACTGGAATGTTTTATATATCTCTCTCATGGATGAACGTTTTATGGATACTGCATCTTTTCAAGAATGTTGAAAGTAAGGACTAGAGAGATGGCCCAGAGGTTAAGGGCACATGTTGCTCTTACAGAGGACACAGGTTCAAATTCCGGCACCCACATAGAGGCTCACAACCATTTGTAACTCTAGTTTGAAGGAGAATATAATGCCCTTTTCTGGCTTCCTCAGATGCAAACAATGCAAATATATGCATGTATGATTCAAATACATACATGCAGACGAAACACCCACATGCATAAAAAACCCAGCTAAATCTAAGAACCAGAATTTTAAAAAGCAACAAATTGCTTTCATTAACAAAAGAGGAAATTATTATAATACTCTAATAGGTGGGGAAAATAGAAATGAAGTGGCAGCAAAGGGCTGTTTAAGAACATACGGGCTAAAATGCTGCAGAGTAGAAGCCCCCGCCCACCGCTGATCACTGATATTCCATGCGTATTCCTATTTTAAAGGCTACGGACAGAATCCCGCATCCTTAGAAAGAGACATTATGCCTGACGGGAAGGTTTCATCTTCATTGTTAGATGACAAAGAAATAAAATTGTCAGGACAAAGAGAAAAACATAGAACCAGCATCTTTAAACCCCCTTACCTGGCTATGCTCTTACTCAAAAAATGTCTTTTAATGAGGGGGAAAAATGAACCTGGAAGGAAGGAGGGAGACTTAAGAATGAATGACTTGACAATACATCAGTCCTTATGATTAATATTTTCCACTATAAAATGGATTTTGGCATGGTTGGGGGTTAAAATGTATAATTAGCTGGGAACCATGGTGTATGCTTTTAATCCCTGTGCTCCTGAGGTAGAGGTAGAGGGGCAGATTGATATCTGTGAGTTCAAGGCCAGAACGCCCAAGGCTACCCAGTGAGACCCTGTATCAAGACAAAAACAAACAACCAAACCTAGCTGAACAAACAAACAAACCAAAAAGATATAACTACAATTATGGTAGAGATAAGAAATTCAATGTATTGCTAAGGTGTGCCAGAATCTTTGCTTTAGTACATTTAGTATTTTCTTAATGTTTGTGTATAAATTAAGAATTTAAAAAAATTAACAGAAATTAAACGGAAGAATGGAATAAACAAACAGGAAATAAAAGACAGTAAGGAAAACTCAACCAACTCAATCTGGGAAGGAGAAAATGGCAGCAAAAAAAAAAAAGCCTATTAAATAAATATGCCAGTAATTGCAAGTGTAAAGGCATAGGCGTATCAGTTTATATTAATTGAAACTATTTAGAATGGATAGATAAAGCAGACAAAATAGAACAAAAAATATAGTGGCGATATAAACACAGTTAAGAACCTTGGACTTATGAACTTAAATAGAAATCAATGCTTGGCAATTAGAGAACAGCTGGCTCTTGTCTAACACCTCGAACAATTCAAAGCAGTCATACCTTAAACTAAAGGAAGCCTTAAGAAATGACAAATTGCACAGATTAGTCCTATTTGACTGCAATGCAGTGGATTTTCAAAAATCTACATTCAAAAGATATTTCTATTTTACGTAGACTTCAGAGCCGTAAACGCATTCCTCTAGGCCACTAATGGAAACAAAGTGCGGATCTGAACCGCGATGAGGTATGTGGAATCCGGTTCAAGTGGCACTGGGAGGAGAATTTATAGCCTTCGATGCATATGTTAGAAATTAAGAGAGAATAAAAATAAACGAGATAAATATGCAACTCAAGAAGCTAGGAAAAGGAGCCCAAATAACTAGGAAAGAAATCAAGAGCAAATTAAATGACAAAGAAGAAAGAATGTGGCAGTCAGAATTAAAAGCCACTTAAAAAAAAAGGCATGGAAAAAAAGCAAAACAAGAACTGTATCAATAAGAAACAGAATTCTATTGGAAGAAAGAATGATAAACTGTAAGCTAATTTATAAGGCGTGTATAATTTTGATACCAAAGCCAAACAAGGACAGCAAAATAATAATAATAATAATAATAATAATAATAATAATAATAAAGTGTGAACTGAAACACAAAACTGATATCCAGCTGCACGTGTGTGTAAAGCAGACCCTCATAGCACAGGTAAGTAGGGCTTAGGAACATAAACAGATTTTAACCCCAGAAACTGTTGTTCACATCCTTAGCAGATAATAATCATCAAATCGCAACAAATACAGAAAAGCCATAAAATTAAACTCATCAATGGTATAATTTTTTTAAGCTAGGATTTTTATAACCTCCAATAAAAAGACTCTGTCAAAATGTTCATAGTGGACATTTGTTCTCGATGGCAAAGCTAAGACTGTCCTTTCTCTCAAGTCTGGAATCAGAATTATTTTGCCTTACCACAGAGATACGATTGTTAATGAAAGTTTCAAACAAACAAACAAACAAAAAACCCCAATGATTAGTGAAGGTATTAATATTTTCAAAATCCCTGGGAAATCTATAAAAAGATAATCAGATAACAACAACAACAAAAAACCTGCCAGCCAGTTCACCGGCTCACACACCAACACACAGCTAGCAATGGTCAATATTCCCTTCAAAAAATTTGTATAATTCAAGTTAATTCATGAGAAAATCATCATACGAACCCAAATTGAGAAATGTTCTATACAGTATTTCCCTTTGTAAACCCCCAAACAGCCAAGTTTATGGAAAATAGGAAATGCTAAGAAACAGGGTCCGAATATAAGAGTGTGTATGTGTGAGTGTGTGTTTGGTGGTGGTGGGTGTTGGGGTCCTGTTTGTGTGTGTGTGTGTGGTATTGGGGGGTCCTGTGTATGTGATATTGGGGGTCCTGCTTGTGTGTGTGTATGCGTGTAGTATTGTGGGGTCCTGGATGGTTTTTTGTGTATGTGTATGTTGTATCGTGGATTATTGTTCTGTGTGTGTGTGTGTGTGTGTGTGTGTGTGGTGTTAGGGGTCCTGTGTGTGCATGTATGTTTGGTGGTGGTGGTGTTGGGGTCCTGTTTGTGTGTGTGTGGTATTGGGGGGTCCTGTGTGTGTGGTATTGGGGGTCCTACTTGTGTGTATTGTGTGTGTGTGTGTGT